AGTACTGTAATATATTACTGTAATAGATTACTGTAATAGAGTACTGTAATTGAGAACTGTAATAGATTACTGTAATAGAGTGCTGTAACTGAGTACCGTAATACATTACCGTAATAGTGTACTGTTACTGAGTACTGTAATAAACTACTATTATTGATTACTGTAATAGATTACTGTAATAGAGTACTGTAACTGAGTACTGTAATATATTACTATTATTGATTACTGTAATAGATTACTGTAATAGAGTACTGTAATATATTACTGTACTAGAGTACTGTAACTGAGTACTGTAATATATTACTGTGACTGAGTACTGTAAATGAGTACTGTAATAGATTATTGTAATAGAGTACTGTAAATGAGTACTGTAATAGATTACTGTAATAGAGTACTGTAAATGAGTACTGTAATAGATTACTGTAATAGATTACAGTCAGTGTAAACTCACCCAGGATGGAGTTGACATCCCCGCTCACTGTGAATGAGAGAATATCAGAGGTCAGTTACTGTCAGTGGTACACAGCAGGTTATTGATCACAACAGGTTATTGATCAATTCAATTCAATTCAATTCAATTCAATCAATTTTATTTGTTTAGCACCAATTCATAACAGAAATTATCTCAGGACCCTTTTCAAATAGAGCAGGTCTAGACCGAACTCTTTAACATTAATTACAGAGACCCAACAGTACCACCATGAGCAAGACCTTGGAGACAAGGGCAAGGAAACACTGCCTGTTAAAAGGCAGAAACCTAGGACAGACCCTTCGGCTCTAGGTGGGTGGTCGTCTGTCTCGACCAGTTGGTGTGAGAAAGAGAGAGAGAGACAGACAGCAGACAGACAGACAGACAGACAGACAGAGAGACAGACAGAGAGACAGACAGACAGACAGACAGAGAGACAGGTGCACAGCAACAACAGTAGCAACAACTACACTAATAGTAGTGACTGATGATGATGAACATGACAACAGCGACGATAGCAACAGTAGCAATAATAATAATAACACTAACATCAATGATATTGGCAACATCAGGTTATCGATCACAGCAGGTTATTGATCACATCATCAAACAACTCGACACCCTTAAAATTCAGTAACTTTATATGGATTACATTAACATAACTGACAAACAGCAGATTCTAGACCAACTGCTGGTTTGTTTTCAGATTATTTCATTTAATTTCATTTAATTTCATTCAGTATCTTTCTTACATGTTGAGGTTGTTTATATGAGTCAGAAACTGTGTTTATAATAGCTCCCATATATGACAAGAACACTGCATTGGTCCTGACCCCGATCCCAGAACCATAACCTGACCCCCACCACGTCAGACCACGTCAGACCAGCTCCCGTCATCAGAGGCTGCGGTTCCAGTGAAATGTTGATGTGAGCTGACCTGAGTTGTAGGCTGACGAGTCTCCCTGGAACGGACAGTCCGTCAGAGCTCCAGCTTTAGCAACGCTGCCCCCTAGAGCCAGTCTGAGGGACTCCACTGCACCCTGACAGAGAGAGGACACAGAGATCTGATCACACCTGCACACAGGGAACAATGTGAACAAACTACATCCTGGTGGATTCTGGGATCTGACCTGCAGTCGGGCGTAGGCCTTCTGTCCGTGTCTGATCTCCACCATGTCGGCCTCTCTGGGCAGCGGGACCAGCGGCGGCAGGCCCTGGCTGGAGTCGGCCAGCCGGCAGTCCACGTAGAGCTCCATGTTCATGTGCTCGCGCTGGAGACCGCCCAGCCTCAGGATGATGGAGTGGGTGCGGCCGTCGGCCAGGTTGGCGTTCTGCAGGTTGACCGTGTGGATCTTCCCGTCGGCTCGGACGTAACGGACCAACACTGAAAATGCAAAAAGGAAATCAGTTTCAGTTTCCAGCTGACTGAAAGCAAACTGCACCTGAATCCCAGTGCGGGTTCAGAACCGGATCACATGGTACGGAGCATAAACAGAATATCCAGTAATGACAGATTGAGAGTGCAGCGGATAAAGAGAGAGGACGTTTAAATAATCAGAACAAAAGTAACGCAGCGATTCTCCACCGACGCAGTGACACTGAAAACCCGTGTAGGCAGGAGTCAGAGAATCAATACAGAATCAAACTGATGAGCAGAATCAATAATGGTATTGGCATCAGTAAAATCTTATCATCCCAAACTGTCACATTGCACCTTTACAGTTCGCAACTCTAATGGAACCCAGAATGGATTATGGTATTTGGATCAATAAAATCAGTCCCCATCCCTGAAGAGTGAAGAGTTATATATTATATATTTATCATATAGTTCAGTCAGCCCACTCACGTTTGAAATGTTTATTAAGCAGTGTAACATATTTAGATTTTGGCGTCCAGGCTCCGACCTCATCACTCCCCGCAGATATGTTTACAGAGATATCGGGGAGTGATGCACAAATACCTTAACCCCCAGTCGGAGCCTACAGGTGGATGCTGGGGTGGTGGTGGGGCTTACGGAGCAGCAGCAGCAATATGGATGCAGGGCAACAGCGGCATTGACAGAGCAGAGGGAGAGCTGGGAAATGTTGCAGTTTAAATAGACCGCCAGATTGGAGGGGAGCGCTTGATTAGTGATTATGGAATAAGGCATGTCATGTGTGTAATCAGCGCAGCTCGAGTTGACTGCCTGAACTAGCTCGCAGGCTTCGCTCCATATATATATATGTATATATATATGTTCTTATTCCATATTTTAGTGCCATATCAGTATAAAGTGATCAGACAACCTAAACACTGGTCAGACAGCCGGAGGTTCAGTAATTAACTCATTCTTCCAGAATGGATTAGAGTCAACAACAGGACCAGCAGAGACCAGCAGACTGGGTGGAAACGAGAGGAAGAACGTTCCACTGTCCAGTTTGAAGTTAAATGTACAACCTTTATTGATCTTCCCCATGACGGCGAGCTCCAGGTACTTCCTGTTGTCCTGTTTGCTGTAGAGACCCAGCAAGACTCCGCCCAACTTCGGCGGCAGCCGCAACGTCGACACTGCGTAGACGTCACTGAGCGCGCTCAGACCACCCGTCAGTTTCTCCACCGCCGCCACGCTCTGCTTCGAGTCCTGCAGACTCAACACGTCAATCACTGAGGAGGAAAAGGACGAAGGGGGGGGGAGATAAGATACTGATAACTGTTACCACGGTAACAGGGGACATTGTTGGTTCCGGTTGATAACCAACTGTTGCTAAGGTGACGCTGGTTCTGGTCAGCAACTGACTGTTGCTATGGTTACAGGTGACGTTAGTTCTGGTCAATAACACTGTTGCTATGGTTACAGGTGACATTGGCTCTGGTCAGTAACTGACCGTTGCTACGGTAACGGTGTTGGTTCTGGTCGTTAGCTGACTGTTGCTATGGTTACGCTGTTGGTTCTGGTCGATAACTGACTGTTGCCATGGTTACAGGTGACATTATTCAATAACTGACTGTTCATATTGTTTTATTATGAAAGTGAATCAATATGTAATAAGTCAAACTTTATTATTGATCAGGTGTAGTTGTTACTGCAGCCTCAGTGTCAGAATACAGAAACACCACAGGGGAAGAATAACAAGACGGCTGATAATCACTTCCTGTTGCTGATCGTCTCACAGTAACCATGGCAACCAACCGGTCCAATCATAATAAAGATAATAAACAGCTCCAGTAATATCGATTTAATAACGGCTTATTCAATTCAATCAATTTTATTTGTATAGCGCCAATTCATAACAGAAGTTATCTCAGGACACTTTTCAAACAGAGCAGGTCTAGACCAACTCTTTGTTCAACAAAGACACCTGAATGCACCACAAAGACAGCGTGAACTAATGGGAGTAATCTGAGTAATCTGAGTACTAATGTGAGTAATCTGAGTACTGGAGTATTTCCACTGTGTGATGAAGTTTGTTCACTAATGACGTTAATTGGATTCAGAGTTTCACCACAATCTGAGACATGATTAACGATCTGATAACTCATCTCTGGTTCAGGATCAATATTCAGAATCAATATTCAGGATCAATATTCAGGATCAATATTCAGGATCAGTATTCAGGATCAATATTCAGGATCAATATTCAGAATCAATATTCAGGATCAATATTCAGGATCAATATTCAGGATCAATATTCAGGATCAGTATTCAGGATCAATATTCAGGATCAATATTCAGAATCAATATTCAGGATCAATATTCAGGATCAATATTCAGGATCAGTATTCAGAATCAATATTCAGGATCAGTATTCAGGATCAATATTCAGGATCAATATTCAGAATCAATATTCAGGATCAATATTCAGAATCAATATTCAGGATCAGTATTCAGGATCAATATTCAGGATCAATATTCAGGATCAATATTCAGAATCAATATTCAGGATCAGTATTCAGAATCAATATTCAGAATCAATATTCAGGATCAATATTCAGGATCAGTATTCAGGATCAATATTCAGGATCAATATTCAGAATCAATATTCAGGATCAATATTCAGGATCAGTATTCAGGATCAATATTCAGGATCAATATTCAGGATCAATATTCTGATTAGATTGGACTCATTAGATATTACTTGCTGTTAATTAAACGCTGGCCGGTCAGTCCGCCGTTACCTTGAACGTCCGGTCCGTCCGGGACTCCCACCGTGAGTCCAACCCAGCTGATTGACAGCAGAACCGGGACCACCACAGTCCAACCCATGTCTAAAACGGGACCGGGACCCGAGCAACGGACCCGGAGACAAAACTTCAAAAGAGAAGAAAGAGTCCGGAGAAGCAGGTCTGAACCGGTACCGGAGCAGCAGCAGCAGGGACTGAAGACCGGGAACCGGGACTGAGGACCGGGATCCGGAGCTGAGGACAGTCTGGGTCCGGAGGAGAACCGGGAGATCTGATCCGAGCAGGGCGGGCAGGAACCGACGGACCGACCGGAGCTCACACTGACGGTCGGTTCACGAGCGCAGCTGGAAACTGCTGCCGGCGCGCGCTCAGCCTCCTCCAACGGCTCGCGCGCAGAGCTGATTAGCATAAAGCGCGCGAGACTCTACCGAGGTTGATCATGATCGATCACTCAGTGCAATCATCACAAGCGACTTATTCAAGTTATTGTATTAGTGACGTCAGTTAATGAGGTCAATTAATGACGTCATAGTCGGACTTTTAAACTATGACATCATATTAATTTACTACGTCAGTGAGTTGAAAAGTATTTTATTAACAAACACATTATCTTTAAAATCATTCTGACTTTATTAAAGTATAGTTCTTTATATATATTTATGTGTTTATGTGATAAAACTGATCAGCAGTTAAATTGTTAATAAACATAAGTTCTAAATTGTTAAGTTTAAATTAAAAAATAAATAAAAACAAGAAATAATTCAAGAAGCTTTTTGTTCATTTTGATAATTTTATACGTTAAATATTATTATGAAATAAACTATATATAATAAAATATTTAGTGTTGTTTCACTAACAATAACTCCTGTTGATGAATATTTATGATCTAATTCATAAAATGTACTAAATGTATTGACATTTTTTATTAATTTAAACATTTATTTAAATAAAATAAAATAATATATTTGCAGGATATTGACCTGACAGTTCTTCCATATGTTATTACCTTTGTTATAATCCTTATTAACATTATTAGGCTGGTAAATAACAATCATTTACTTTCTTTATTTATATATTCAACATATTTATTACAGCAGCTCAGGACAGAGACAACCAGTGACTCCTCCCAGTGGACGGGATGGGACCACATTGTGTTTGGACATTTTAGAAATAACAATAATTAAAGTAATGAAACTGTTCAGCTCTGAACAGAAGTCTCTGTTGTTAACAGCAGCAGGTCAGAGGTCAGGGGTCAGAGGTCAGGAGCTGGCTCTGAGTCTCTCTGCTGTCTATTCAGCTTTTGTCTGGACCTCCATTCAGTCCTCCAGAGGGTCCAGAACCAGACCCTGAGACCCCCTCAGTGCAGGACGAGGGTCTGTTCCCCGCTGTGTGTGTGTCACTGACTGCAGCTCACACAGTGAATACTTCAGATATCTCTCAAAGGTTTTAAAGTGTGACTCTAAAATGTTTAGTGTTCTCTCCGTCCTGCAGAGGGATTACATGGCGGTGGGTTGAACTTTATTTTCATAATTTCCTGCAGAAATCTCCTGCCTGAACACAGTGAACCAGGATCTTTTGTGGCTCCCGGGGGCCCCGTTGCCATCCGCCCTGCTGCCTGTGTGAGCATTTGCTGCGCTGGGTGTTGTCTTGTCTGCTAGTTCAGTAAAAATGTAAACTGGGAGTGTTTCTGGGGAACAGATCCAGACTGTGAGTGAAACCTGAAGGGACTTGCTGTGGTTCTCTCTGCAGGCTCACACTTTGTGTTTGTTTCTGACTCTGGAGCGTTGCCACGGAAACCTGTGTTTAACAGCAGGTGAGGGGCGGGAGGAAACTCCACGTCCCCCCTCCAACAGCAGCAGGCAGACTGCTTTCCCTCCTCAGCTGGAGCTGGAAGGAGTGAAACAGACGAGAGAATAAAGAGTAAGAAGTGTCAGAGCGAACGTGTTAACAGTGTTTTTCTGTCCGACTGTTCAGAAAGAACTCAGCCCCACAAACTGCTTCCAGATCAGCTCATTAAACACACACACACACACACAAACGGGGGGAACAGATTCCTGTGTGATGGCGTCATGTGCAGCTGTATGTCCCCGGGGTCCAGACCCGGTCAGGACGGGTGGAGACTCCGGCTGGTGGTGGGAGTTTCCTTCCAACAGGCTGTTGTTTGGTTGTGAGTGATCTCCTGTACGAGGCAGCAGGAACACTCCTCATCTTTCTCTTCATATATTTATATTTCAGACTTAGACAGGGGCCGGTTTCCTTTACTCACAGTTAATCAGTTCCCCTCCACAGGAACCTGGAGCCTCTTTGGCCCCTCAGGGTCTGTGGGCCCTCACAGACTACCAGACTGTGCACAGGCGTCGGGTGTCTTTCATTACTTCACAAGATAAAACCAGTTCCCAAACCCCCCCCCCCCCCCACACACACACACATTTTAGTTCCCAAACACCCCCACACTAAATTTAGTTCCCAAACTCCCCTCCACACTCATTTTAGTTCCCAAACTCCCCCACACTCATTTTAGTTCCCAAACTCCCCTCCACACTCATCTTAGTTAATGCGTTGACAGTCATGTGATAATTGTGTTGAAGGCAGAAATGATGAGTCGTTTGAGGGTTTGGGAACCTCTTTAAAGGGTTAATATATGAGAGCTGTTATCTCTGTAATCGTACAGTGGGGTCGTGGCGTCTCCCTGTGTGTGACTGTCTCATCTACGTCGATTAATTCAGAAACCAGATTTGGTAATAGTTGGAAACATTAACAGAAGGTTTAATGAGTTTTATTGTTTCTGCCCACTTTGTGTTTTGTGTTTATTTGCGAGGTAAAATCTCTGTTTTTGTGAATGGAGTCTGGTGGACCACAGTGCTCTGAGATGCTGGAACTCCAGTGCCACATATAACCAATCTTTAAAAAGAATGAAATAAAAACAAATTAAAATGGATTTATTTTGAAGGAAAAAGCTGATCCACGTTTCTTCAGTTTAAAAAAATCAACAAAAGTTATCAATAATCTTCACATAAAGAAAATCCAGAGAATTATCTTTTAATTAATTTCTGTACACAAACCAGCACCAACATCTGCTTCCTGATTACTTTTCATCTTTTTCATTCGGTGGGTTTCATCCTCCTCTTTAACGCTAACTTCCGTCAATGAAGTCCCACGATGCCGCAGCTTCGACCTACGTCTCTTCAGCCGTCTCCCTCTTCCTCCTCATGGGATCCCATGGTCTGCAGGTCCGGCGGCGCCTCCAGCGCCCCCTGCTGGATGTGCTGGATGGACACCATGCCGGTCAAGAGGGCGTAGCTCAGCATAGCGCCCAGAGCCACCAGCGCCGACATGAACTGCTTCCTCCGCTTGTTGGGGACGTGATCAAAGTCTCCGCCTTCAGGCTGAGAGGACGTCTTCTGACTGGAGCTTTCTGAAAAAACAACATGGAGGCCGTCAGCTGACAGTATGAGACCAGTTTGTCCAGAACAAAGTCCAGAGAACCTCCTGCAGACTTTGGTCTCTCTCATACCAGAGTCCCCTGATAGAAGCAGTGATTGTAGCTCTGAGAACGCGGTTCCTGCTCTACCGCTGCCTCCGTCCTAACTAACATTAGTCACTGTGGATGGAGGTAGCGGGGGACCACAAACTGATCTGTGAGGACAAATTACTGCTTCTGTCAGAATCTGCTGGCTTTGAAGAGAGAACAGATCGATGTAACAGCTTCAGTTATCGTGGTTTCTGGATTTGATAGACCGTAAAAAAAAAAACAGGCGTTTATAGAGTTTGTGACGGTGCTTCCTGTCCTCCAGCTGCAGGTCGTCCAATAGGAACGCAGCGCTGGGACGTCAGATAAACTAACTAAAAACCAGAAATGAGACTGAAACCTGAGAAAACAGCTGGATCTTAGAAGCATGAGTCCTAAAATGAGCTCATTCATGTCCTCACCCTCACAAACAGCGTCCTGATTAATGTCTCCAGCGAGACAAAGATTTATATGATGTCATTTAAACTTCACAAAGACAAACGATGAGAACAGCCGGCGGTTCCTCACCTCGGCCGTCTCTGGGGAAGTAGAGCAGCAGGATGTTGGTGCAGAAGTTGCTCAGGTTGTCCAGAGATCTCAGATGCTGCTGCAGTTTCCCGTTGGGCAGCTTGGACTTGAGGATGGGCGCTAGGTGACCGAAGACATAGGCGTCCAGAGATGAAGGCCTAACAGGAACAGATTCATCTTTACAGAGATATTCTGATATCAGACAGCTTCACTAACTCCATTCAATATATAATAATAATAATAATAATAATAATAATAATATAGAACAATGCTGCTGCTAACGTTAGCTCAGCTTGTTTCTCTGATAACTTAAGATCCAGACGTCCGATGACTAAAATCCTTCATCCGGTTCAAATCTAGAGTTAAAAAGCACCAAGATCTAAACAGTGGATGGTAAACAGTCAATGTATGACAGCTTCTGATTATTGATTATTGATTGAATCAACTCCATATAGAACATAGCTCTACAGTTTATACACTGTTCAGTTTTAAGCCAACCAGAGCTGAACTACTGCAGTACGTGCAGCAGGTGACCAGTCAGGGTCCTCTGATGAACTACTGGCTATGGGGGGGTCCAGCTGTGTATGATTTACCACCTGTAGATCTCTGGTTATAGGACCGGAGAAGAAGAGCAGTCTTGCTGTGAATTTGCATCTGGATGAACTTACGAGTCTCCGAAGAAGAACTTGTGTGAGCCGAGGCGCTGGGAGAGCAGGTTCATGCACTCTGCAGCATCACGGTACAACTGCAACACACAACAGGTCACACAGTTCAAAAGAGTTCACAGAGTCTGAGAATCTGTGCATTGAGCCCCCCGTGGGCCGGAGGGTTGGAGCCCCCCGTGGGCCGGAGGGTTGGAGCCCCCCGTGGGCCGGAGGGTTGGAGCCCCCCGTGGGCCGGAGGGTTGGAGCCCCCCGTGGGCCGGAGCCCCCCGTGGGCCCCCGGGCCGGAGGGTTGGAGCCCCCCGTGGGCCGGAGGGTTCGAGCCCCGTTGATACCTGATCTTGTAATTAAAGTCCAAGTTGTGGAGTTTGAGTTAAAACAGTTTACAGAGAGCGAGTACAAACACAACGAGGCTGTAAAGGAGGACTGGTGAGCAGACAACCTCTGCAGTCTCAGTTAGACCCTGGTTAGCAACCGCTGTTAGCAATCGCCGTTAGCAACCACCGCTAGACACGTAGAAGCTTCAGAATCCGTCGGCTGATCGGGCGATCAATTGGCTCTCTGTAGTTGGATGAGTGCAGCGCCGGTTGTATGATTTTATTTAGCTAATTTAATGATCCGCCTTCTGCTAAGCTAAAAGGATAAAGCTGCGCTCTGGTTGTGGAGGAAGTGAAACACACTGACGGCTGTAAAGATGCTTTTATGAGTCTCACCGAGCTCCAAGTGTCTCAAAGCAAGCGAAGCACAGACGGAAACATTTTAGAAAACACATAAAGTAAAGTCGACCTTCATGCTGACAGCAACAAATTGTTCTTTAACAACCTTTCCCTGAACGCTGTCTGACCTCTGACCTCCTTCCAGAGTGGATGGATGCTTTCGTAGCCGCAGTTTTCCAACAGAAAATCCACTGAAGAGAGTTTTCCTCTGGCTGTAAATCTGTTCCAACCACTTCAAGGAGCACACATGGAAACCAAATCTCTGAACAAACTGGAAAAATGTTCTGATGTCACTGCAGCCGACAGACGCACAGAATTAAACTCACATTAGTTTCCGACACCAGAAGCTCTCAGACATGATGCTGATGTGCAGTCATACTTCAGGTTCAGCGTTTTAGTCATGTTTCTTATTTTTCTTTCAAAATAAAAGCCTGTCCTCACCTCCTTCTCCAGCTCCTCTCCGGCCTCCAGGCTCTCGTTTCCCCGCAGCAGCCGCAGTTTCTCCAGCTGGCCGCGCTGCATTCGTCCCGGCAGGAAGAAGTTCAGAGGAAACGGCATGTGCTCCGCGTACCAGCGGCGAGTCACGTCCACGTAGTTCTTCGGCTCGATCCAGAAGGCGTAGATCTGCAACAGACAAAGGTTTGTTTTTAGTATTTAATACGTTCACGTGTTTGAAATATGCCTGTCGTTCTCACCAGAGCAGGTTTGAGTGTCTCCTCCATCAAAGAGATGAAGGCCAGACTGTCTGCGCCCTCCTTGGCTGACAGATCGTAGTCGGCATTGTATTTCTGAAAAACACAGGTGAGATTTCTGAGTGAAAGCACCTTGTACAGAGAGTGCCGGTGGTCTGAAGGTCTCAGTGTGTTTCCTGTTGTGTGAAGACTTCAGCAACCCTGAACAGACTCTGGTGTGTTTTTACTGAGTTCAATCTTTGCAGCGGAGCATGAAGCCAGCACTTTCCTCCTCTGAGCTTCTTCAGCAGCTCTCCTGTCGCTGTGGTTTCTGACTAACCTACCGCAGCGTGGAGGCAGCGAGCATGCTGGGTAATGTGTTCCAGCTGGCTGTTAGTTGCTGAACGCAGGCAGAGGGCAGCGGTTGAGGGGAATGTGGGTCAGAGGAGCTGAAGGTCAGAGCAGAGAGTCTGCAGCTCCTGTTTGAGTCTGTGAGGTGTTCACTGTCCACACTGAACCTGTTGAACTGGAGGTCGGTTCAGTCCTTACACAGTGTGTTTGTAACTCTGTTATAATCATTAATATTAGCATTAGAACAGTGAATGTTCCTGCCGTCCATCGCGGTTCTAAAGAGAACCAGAGAACCGTTCTCTCTCTGCTGTGGTTCCTGCTGAGCTTTATGAGGATTATCAGCTCTGTTGGAATGTGTCTCTGGCTGCAGCTTCCTGTTGTTTAATGAGTTTTTCCAGTCGGCTGCAGGCGCACACACACACACACACGCACACACACACACACACACACACACACACACACACACACACACACACACACACACACACACACACACACACAGACACACACACAGACACACAGACACACACAGACACACACACACACACACACACACACACACACACACACACAGAGTACTGGGACTCCAACAACCTCATAGTTATTATTCTCCACCACCTTCTGTTCACAGAGGCACTCATACATTAGTACCATTACAGTCCCAACAGGGACTTTAAAACTCGCTGTGTAATTCCTGACGTAGCTCCTCCCACCGGATCAAAAACAAGAGGTTCCATACCGGATCAATAACGATCAATAACATAACTCCACGCTGCTGTAACGAGCTACTGGTGCTGTACCTGTAGCTTCATCCAGACTGTGGAACAATCTTCTTTATTCATTATCAGTGGGTTCCTGTTTTAGCAGCATGAAGTGGTAAGTATATCAGCCCTGATGCATGCTGGGAAGGAGGTGATTACCTGTTTTCTGAGGTGGATGATGATTTCAGAGGGTCGGGACAGCGTCTCTTTCTGATTGGTCCTCAGAGCAGGAAGTGACCCTTTGAGAGCAGAAAGAAACAACATGAAGAACACACACTCGTTTCTTCTCCAGGTTCACAGGAGGAGAGGAAGACTCACCGCTGGGACTCCTCCAGGGGTTGGAGATCTTCCTCACCTTCAGAGGAGCTCCTGCAAACTGAGCGTATGCCTGCAGACAGAAGGACAGGTTATAGAGATTCAGGACAACGAAGATTATTTTAAAGATATTTGGTTATTTTATAACTAATGTTCTCTGAGTGGCTAAAAGCTGAAGATTGATTGACAGTGAATGTGATGATGTTATTGGTTGACTGGATTGTCGTACAGTGTTAGACAGTATGTGTGTGTGTGTGTGTACGGTGTGTGTACAGGGTTAGACAGTGTGTGTGTGTGTGTGTGTGTGTGTGTGTGTGTGTGTGTGTGTGTGTACAGTGTGTGGACAGTGTTAGAGTGT